ATATGTTCATATAAGCTATCCATATATATATATATATATATATATATGGCAGTGATTTCATGCAACAGTTGTATTATAGTATAATTTAACGACACTTCTAAAAAACCATATTTGTGGTATTTGTATGACCTAAAATTTTACACAAACTCTCTGTTCATCTCAATAATCAATTCAAAAAAAAGGAAAAAGTTCAATTTAAACCCTAGATATGGTTAAAATTGGTCCCCTCCAAAAATGAATATAGACCATTCATTTGGTGAATTTCAAGATCTTAGCCTTTATAAACTCAAAACCATGTTTTTATTTTTTAACATTGTTCATCTAATGATGATAAATCCATCCAAAAAAATTGGAAATGATAAAATCTTTCTAAGGCTTAGATCTAAACATCTCACCAAAATGAATGACCTATGTTAATTGGGCTAACAAATACTTTCTAAGTTGTGTTTTCATATTTTTCTCTTTTGTGATTGTTCATGAGAATGAAAAGAGTATATATTTCAAAATTTGGATCAAACAAATGGCCATACCATGGTTTTTGAATGAAATCATTGCTTATATATATATATATATATATATGAATGGGTTTTGCCAGCTCATGGGTTGACAATTATGGTGTCAGCCAACGGTCCAGATTGAATCTGGACCGATCTGACGGTCACAATCTTATTTTATATTTGAATTTTTATTGTTTTTCTATATATTCAAATCACTTGAAATTTTAAGCATTCATTTTTTCATTAAGGCACACCTAATAAAAATATAAAAATAATAATTCGTAAAATATAAATTCACCAAAATACTCTCAAACCTTTTCGAGAGTATTTTGGTCAATTTTTATTTTGTGAATTTTTATTTTTATATATTTGTTAGATTCTCATATTTTTGCATAATAGACACTCAAAATTTCAAGTGATTTGAATTTATATAAAAAAATTGTATTACGAAATGATGTTGTAACCATTGGATGGAGCCCAGATTGTAGGCTGATACTGTAGCTGTCAGCCCGTAGGCTGATATATATATATATATAATGATCTCAAAAGATCACCATTAAATTTGACACATATTTCTAGAAAAATCAAATCTCATACTCGTATAATAACTTTTTTAGAAATCTGTGCTAAATTTAATGATATTCCTTTAAAGTTCTACACACATAGATGCGAGTGGGTCTTGCATGATCATTACTTTTATATATATATATAGGTCACATAGCTTTTCCCAATGGAAACACCATTGCCTATTTCTCGGGGCTTTTTGAGAGATGGATTATAAACGTCCAACCAACTGTGGCAAATGGCCCGACCTTTATGTTGTTTTTGTCCCCATGACACCGGCCCAAGCCGAGCCTTGTTTGTGCCTATACGGGTTAAAAATAACTAAAGAAAAAAAAAAAACAAAAAAATAGGCCCCGTGTCTGGCCGAACTGGGCCCGTATTAGTACTAATTTTGCCCCTCCAGCCAACTTGGCTGGCCGGGCCATGCGAGGCCTCCCGGTCCATTGCTAGCCCTAAGTGAGACCCGCCACTAGATTGGAGACATATCACAAGTACGAACAAGTTATGTGCGTCCGTGCGAGCAAGTTAGTGGTGGCCACTACAAATACGAAAGAGAGAGAAGGTTCGGAGAGTATTACGCATTCACTTTTGGAAAAGTAATGATGTTCCTGCAGTACCATCCGTTGTCAGCTTTGGAGGCTGTAGGTTTATTAACAGAGTAGACACGTGATACGTCCCTCACTAATTTATGTTCCCCGTATGCCATACACTCCACAGTGTGCATAGCAAGTGAAACGGGTTGGGGTTGGGGTTGGGGTTGGGGTTGGGGTTGCGGTGGCAGCACCCACATCCCAATCACCATGTCGGGTTTTTATTCTCTTCATTAATACCATTTCATTAATATCTTAAAAAGATAACTCTTTATCTATTTGATAAAAACGGGTAATGGCATGCATATATCACTAAATTATTAAAAAAAATAAAAATAAAACATTAATAGAAAAGAGGTTGGATGGTGGTGGTAGCACCTCGCTACTTAGTTACTACATTGTGATTTTCAATCCCTACTTAGTTACTACATTGTGATTTTCAATCCGGCTGATATGACACCTTAAAAAAAAGCAAACTTCCTAACCTATA